GGTTGTGTTGATGGCTACCAATCTGAATGGCTTTAAAAGGGGATTGGATAAATCCTTGGAAGATAGGGAAACCCAAAGCTTGGTGACTGTATTCTACATCCAATATCAAGATGCTAGCTCTACATCCAACCCTTGTATACACCAGTTGCTGATGAACATGGGTGAGAGGGAGTTCTTCACACAGCTAGTTGGCCACTGTGTGAACAGTATGCTACACTAGATGAAACTTGGACTGATCAAGCACGACTCTTCTTACATCCTTAAATACACAACCAGTAGAGTCATTCATATAGCTTTATAAAAGGAATAGAACATAATGGGTAAGATATTCCATGTTTCCTGACCCACAAGACCTACCACAGTGTGATAAACTCATCACAGGGACTCTGGGACACATGAGAAAACAAATGGATCAACTCTAAGACTATGCACTACCATAAATTTCTACACTGTGTAAAGGTTTATAGCTTTACAGATTCCTATTTTTGTAAAAGACAACACAGAAACATACTTTTTCTGTGAGAATCACATACAGATAGAAACAGTAAAATGTTGTTTTGTTGTTGCCTTCACTGTCCCTGAGTATAGCTGACTCTGGGCGCATTCCAGGGTTCAACTTCATGCACTCAAGCCATCTATTTTGTTTCATCATTCTCAGCTCTGGGATATTCCATGGAGCCATACGAGTGCTGCTACAAAGGGGGTTCTTAGAAGTGATAGTGTTAAATGACCAGGTTACCTCTGTGTTCCATGATTTTGACAAGACTGCCAGGAAACCACCTACAGCTCTCCAGAAGCATCCAGATCCATTGGGGCAGACCATGATAGGTTCCCCACACTTGCAGAGGAGAAAAACTCTAAATCTCATTCCTGGTGCTCTGACCATGACAAAAGGACTGAATAGAAGCCCTCCCCTACACACACACACCAAGCTTACCATCCCCACTCCTGGGCCAGAGTGCTGTTGGAACAGTTCCATTGTTTCCATGGAGTTTATGAAATCCTGAGTCACCCTTGACCTGAATGTTGACATCCCCCAAACCCAACAGTTTGGTGTACCTCAGTATCACATCCTAAACCACTTCCACTTGCTCAGATAGGAGTTTGTGGAATAGTGGGTGTGACTGATTGGGTTGCATGTGAACAGATGGAAAGGTTTCATGATTGTTTTTGACTAACCACAGTCTGCTGTTTCATCTGAACCAAAGCAAATTAGGGTTAGTCTCTACTTTGGTTTATTGAAACAAAATGGGTTTAAACTGTGCATTATAAAACTTACTTGTTTCAAAGAACTATAGCTAAAATGAACCATAATGTAATGTTTCGACATAATGTTTAATTGCAGTTAATCAAAAACAGAATTGAAAGTTTCTGATGTAGGGGCGTGCTACAGATTCAGGCAAATCCCATACTTATCAGCTGAATCAGACAGATTTAGGAGATATCCAAATAAAAATGGGGTTCCTCCAAAGTGAACCGATTCTGAATGTGAATACTCAAGAGAATTGGCATTCAGAGGTGATGCATATCTCCCCAAGGAGACACACACACACACACACACACACACACACACGGAAAACAGTGTTGTGGGAAATGGAGAGAGGGAGAGGGAGAGGGAGATAAGTGGATGTAGTTTTATAACAGACAGCTCTAATTTCTAATCACAGTGACTGGTTTACAAAGGTTCTCAGATTCTAGTGCTTTGAAGAAGGGATGCTGAAGTAATGTATCACAGTTCTTTGCCAGTTCTCTCGCCGTCTCTGAAATATTAAAAGATGTTTAATGGAACCTGTGTGATCTGAAAGGATGTAGGAATGCATGTCTAGCACTGTATGCTCCACATCCTTCGCCCACCATTGCTCCATTGTAGCTCTGTGACTTTGGAGCCAATTGACCAGAAAATAAACGAAAATGTCCTAAACCACTTTTCATTCAATTTAAATTTCCAGTCCATAACACTGCCCTTCTGAAACTTTGCAGGGGTTTTTGCCTAGGGATACTTATATGAGAGCCAGTGTAGAGTAGTGGTTTCAGAGTTGGGAGATCTGGGTTCTAGCCCCTACCCAACCATGAAGGTCATTGGGTGACTTTGGGCCAGTCATGGACTCTCAGCCTAACCCAGCTCATGGGGTAGCTGTTAATGAGGTTAAAAATGGAATGGAGAATGTATGTAAGTCATATGAAAGCACTGATCCTACCCTTTTGATTGTTTTTTCACGTTTTTTAACTAGAGCCATCACTATGCTATATATCATAATCACCCACAAAAATGTAGGAGAATAAAAAGTCCACCCTTTTTTGAAAACATCCCAGACTGTAATCGCTGCTCTTGCACAAGTTCCCCGCACCTGCAGTGTTTCTCTGAAACTTAGCAGGCATGGTTCACTCAGGAGGAGTAATCGTACCTGCATATTTCATTCATTTCAGCTATGAAATCAAAAAGTTCTTGGCTTTTCTCCTTCTTTAAAAACAAAAATAAATCTTTTTTTTAATGTGGCTCAAAGTTGAATTGAGTGGCTTTGGAATCAGTTCACTTAGAAGTGGGATGTTTTCTGAACTGATAAATCAGGGTCTGAGCCAACATTCCTTCCTCGCATTTTGCCAGAGGAAGAGAGAAAAGGTGAAATTGTGAGCCCAGAGCTCACTTAGGCTGGTTCTCATAATGATAAACCAACCATAGAGTATCACTGCATCCCAATACTGCTACCAAGAAGCAGAAAAGGAGTGGCAAAGAATGACCTTAGGCCATTAAACCGATCCTGATGTAAGGTCTTCAGAGGCTTCCTGTGTATTTCTACCAAAAGAAAAAGTATCTCATCTTTACTCAAATGCCTCAGTGGTAGGAGTATTAAAGTAATGAGAACATTATTTTAATGGTTAAAAAGGGACTGGATAAGGCCAGGAACAAGATTCAGGTTATCTAAAACCTGCAGCATGTAAAATTGTTTCTCAGTGCCAGGGGCCTCAAACGTTTATTTTATCTTATCTTTTGCAAATGAAAGCACAGCTATACATACTTCAACATCTCATGCAAATATCTTAGACAGAAACCATATTTTAAGACATGAAACCATTAATCGTACAAACAGTAAGCTTATCCTGAGACAGTCAGCAGCAACACTGTTATCACATCATCAAAAGAAGTTTCACATCACAAAGGCGATTATAGGTCTCAGTCTCACATTCTTTCATTACTAATTGTTTTCTACAAAAAGGCAGTTTTGAAATGATGGAAAGGATACCAGGCAAGGGACAGGAGTAAACCAAAGGTGCCAACACAGCTAAGAATTGATCACTAAAGAGCATAAATAATAAGCATGCAAGCACTGATGATATGTTGCAAAAATGCATCAGAGATATACGTAAAATAGCATGTTGAGTGCTATGGCAGGGATTCCCAACTCTTGGGGGCCAGTAGGGACACTGTGACTTTTTAGGCAGTAGTATGGCTGCTGTCTGAGAATTCTCATGAGAAGGCTAAGTGCCAAGCTTAAAAGAAAAGCAATTCACCCAAGAACTTTAAAAACCATCAGGGACAAGGGACCTGACATGCACCCAGGATGGTAACTGTGCTAATGCACCATGTTTGGGATCCCAGATCGAATGACTGCATAAGATTTTCTACACACATCAGTTTTCCTCCAATCTTTTCCTCCGATTCAGACCTATAGTCTGAAGCAGTATTGCTCAGTTACCACTTTCTTGAAATGAAAAAAATTCTCATAGAAAATCCATAGATGAACAAATTACAAAGTATGTTCCCTGAATGGTGATATTTTAAGTCATAATCAGTAATATTAATTATATATTATATGCTCTATTACAAATCCTCTTGCTTTTTTCATTCATACTTGGAGAGAGACTTGAAGGTATCTGAGAAACTTCAATATTCATTGCTGCTCATCTCTACCTGTACACAAGAAGGCCCAGTTGTTTACATCTGCAGGTAGATTAGCACATCCAATTGATGTAGTTATTTATTTTAGGCAGAGAAACATACAGATGATGCACTAGTCACAAAAACTTTTTCAAATTACCTTGATTGGCCCAGAAAACACTGAATGTCAGTGGCCTGTCTTCTCCATGAGCACAAATCTGCCTGTGCAAAGATGCTCTCCTCTCTCTGCTCTGTAGCTTTCCAAATCAGGAGCACACAAGGCCCTCTTTGCAAAAATGAAGACATTGCAATAATGTAAGGACCAATCCTTGGCCATTCTTGTGCCTTCATGGGCCTTGCCCCTTCCCAAAGACAAGATCTGATTGGTTCATATTGCTGCTACTCAAAATGCCATTTTTTAAAAGTGGTTTTTAAAGGGTGGTCCATAGGCTTGCCCAGCCAGCTTCTACCTCTCACTGCCACTTCAATCTGCTCAGAAGCCAGAAATTTCCTTCAAGCCAACTTAGCAACAGGTGAAAGCAGCCACCTTTGGCGGGTGCAGAGGAGGAGGAGCTGCCGCCGCTACTGCTGTTGCTTCCAAGTTTAAAAAAGAAAGGAAAGAAGGGTGGGCTGGCTGGGTAATGGTGCCTTGTGTATGGAGGCCTCTCAAGTAAGGAACTTGCTTGACGCCTCTCTCAAAAATATCTCCTTGGGGTCCTAGGATGTGGCACTAGGGAAGGGAACAGCCAGTCATTAGGTAGAGGAACTTTCCACTTCACTAGACTCTTCCACCCCATTTTGGCAATTTCCTCTTCCTGCTACAGCCCACTGCTTCACTTTACTCATCAGCCCTGAAGGCCCCCTGATGCTGAGAGGCTTTGCAGGAAGAGCAGGAGATGATAATTAGAAAGTGGGATGAGAAGTGTGCGTGATGCGTGTGGACCTCCACTTATGCGAATCCAGATACTATCAGCTGGTATTTTGTTTACAAACAGGTACAGTTATAAGTGCTTCAACTTTTAACTTCAGATTCAGACTGCTATTCATAGTTTCATACACTCAGGTTAAAAAGAGAAAGTCAAATGTTACCATAGCATTCATAACTTTTTTTCTCTCTTTTCAGAAATCCAAGACAACGACGATAGAGTGAAATCTGTCAGAGACCTTGTACAGAAGCTACCAAGACCAAATTATGACACAATGAAAATACTATTTGAACACTTGAAAAAGTAAGTTTTCACTGTAAAATTTGAAGTTTTAATGGAGGAACCTGAGAGTTAGAAACAAAAGGAAAAGTGTCTTGATCTCAGGTTTGGATGTTCAACTGGAACTTCTTGCAATGCTATTAGTAATAAACATTCTGTAGGTTGAATTTTAAGAGATGGTTCAAAATCTTCACCTAATATGGACATGCCCAAATATATTTCTCAGAGCAAATCCTGAGGTTCTGAGTCAAAATTGGATCAATAACATTAGTTATTTTGTTTTTGTATGTATCTTCTCTTTTCATGTATAAAACAAGGGTAAGTTCCTAGTGAGATATCAAAATGGTCATACAGATAAGAGAAACTGATTATCGTATCTCCTCACATCCCATCATTTCAGGTGTTGTTGCTGCTGCTACTTTTCTTCAATATCAGAGATACCCAGAGAGAAAAGTGCACAGGACAAAGAATGCTTCATCTGCAGATTTCTTTCTTATATATAGATTAAATCCAACATCACCCTTGATCCATGAATAGGACAGTTATATGAATAAACAAGCATGGCCACCTGCATCACACTTAGTTTAAACCTTAGATTTAGCCAGCTATGGTGATTCGAATATTCAACACTCTTCACTGTGTTTGTTTTACAAAACAAATAGACCTGGGAATTAGAAGGGTGATTAGGAAATCAGCAGACACCTCTGTTAGGAAGTCACCCATGAAGCAGAGCAGCACGTTGTGTCTCACATAGAATATGAAGTGGCATATAGAGCTTCATGCCCACTCTCTGGAAAGCAGTGTGCATGGCAAACAGACTCAGCCATCTTTTAATGAGTGCTGCCTTTCTAATGGGGTTTTGGTTGAAATCATTAGTTCTCAGAATGCAGAATGCATAGGTCTTTTATGTTGTTATCAGGATAACAAAGCTAGAACTGAAAAAGTGTATGTGGCTATATGATGTCACTACTTAGTGAAGCAAATGCAAAGACTGAAAAGGTGGATTTGACATTCTAGGAAGGCCATGTCCTCACTTTACTGAAGTCCTTTTAGTGGAAGCTGCTCAGAGCCTACTCTAATATCTGGCATGCAGATCATTGTTTTTAAGATACCCTTTGAACTAGAGTGTCCATGTGTCTTATTTTGCACAAGATGCCCCCCTCTTTGAAGCTGTCCTCTGCTGAAACAGCTGTGCCCAGTTCAAGTTTAGTTTAAAGATGAAGAACCATCTATAGTATGGTGAGGCCTTCAAGTTGCCCAGTGTGTACAGTTTCTATACAAATCTGTATATTCTTTCATTGTCCTTTGGGTCCAGACAACATGACAGACCAACAATGGTTAAAAAAAACCCCACCATGGTTCGCCATGTTGTCTGAAGCCAGAATTATGATTTCCATGGTCCTGCTTTGCAGCTACCACAGAATTGTCTGGAAAGAGTGGCAACTGCAGTTGCTGCTTCAGCCACCCAGCTTCTATGTGCAGACCAAGGAGGAAGAGGCATGTGACAGAGGATTGCATTTCAGGCACAGTGGCTGACAGGATACATGCCCACAGGAGTTGGACTGAGAAGGGAAACCACAATAATGTAGAAACCTCTTGATTATCTGTCAGCTAGATCATGGTTAAAAAACAAAACAAAACAAAAAACAGGGTTGCTTGTCTTGCTTAAGCCACCTTTATTGGCTTCCTTTGTGCAAGGAGTAAGTGATACAAACATTTGCCCTTCCTTAGTAGTGCTTTAGAATAATTTAACATCATGGTCCTGTAAGATGATTATTTATATGTCAGCCTTTTTTTGCCCTACAACTCATGTCAGAGGTTGAAAAGTTAAATACAACCACTACTGTGATTTTTTGCATGACCTTTAATTTTAAAAACTTGCACTTTACCATGATTTTGCCACTCAATTCAATGGAACAGCTTCTTAACCTTAAAAATAAGTAAGTAAGTAAGGGGGAAATCCTGAGGATTGCATCCTTGGTGCTCCTACACCCCGAAACCCAGAAGCCAGGGAATGATAGAGGCAGTGCCCACATCCTTTCTCCTCTCACACTGCAAGTCAGCCAGGAAGCTGTCATTGGTCATCTACCTGCTGGGCTCTTATAAAACCTGTTATCTCAAAAAAGTCAGAGACATGTTTAACATGCAATGTGTCACAGGCATGCTGCTTTATCTATCCTTCTTTGTTAAGCAGGAGAAGTTTTTGCTGTTGCAGTAGTCAACAATAAATAAGGGCAAACCATACATCCGAATAATAGGCCAGCAGGTTAATCCAGTAAATAACCACACCGCTCCATATTTTATACTTATGTGTGGTGCTCCACAGGGATAATGCAATAGCCTTTGCTTTCCTTTGGATGGAAGAGCATTGGAGACTTACACTGTCCTTTGCAGTGTTGACATATTTACAGATTAAAAGGTGGATTTAATGGGAGCAAAAATACTTTTATAAGTGGCAGCATGACTGCTGATGTTTCCTCAGATTCCCAAAGAGCAACTGCACCCAAGGCTGCTTCAGGATGCATTTTCAGCTAACAAACTCTCATTTCTGTATGTCCAGATTAAAATAGCAAGCATCTTCCAGCTCCCTCCCTGCCCCCATTCAGGGCCAGCTCTATTTTGGGGACAGGCTGAGCACCATGCTGCCCACAGCCACATCTATCTAGTTCGCAGTGCGCCATTCTCAGGGAGGCTGCTGACTGCTTGGGCCTTCCTCTTCTCCCCTCTCCCAGTGCTACTGGCAAATGATGCTCCTCACTGCAGTCCCCCTGCAACCAGTATGGCCGGCTCCCTCTCCTTCCTTCTTTGCATGCTGCTTGCTCCTCTCCAGGCCCACTTTTGTGGAAGCAATGGAGAAGGATGCCTGCTGTGCTGCCATCATGCATTCAACCTTCTCCTCTGAGATGAATGAAAGAACAGGGATTGCTGTTGGGAAAGAAAAAAAGAGAGGCAGGAAGTCACTGCCATTGCCACCCCGTTAGGCCCGGGGGAAGAAGCCATGTGAGATTGTAAAGAAGAAAGTAACTGGGATTGGTTGCTGTTCCCCAGATGGCCACATCCCTTCCCAGTTGCCCCAACTCTGGATCACTTGGCTGATTCTAAGCACTTTTTGGAGTTTTCCCACTACTCTAAAAGGTCCTTAGGCTTAGTTACTTGCAATAATAGCTTTACGCTACAATATACTACAATTTTATATTGGGCCCCACTGTTTTTGCCCTTGGATCTACCCCCTTTGCCTTTGCCCTCTCCCACCACTGGAATGCAGCCCCAGAAAGCAACTCCAAAACTGAATTCAGACCTCAGGCTGCAAGAGGTGCTCCGCTTGGCCAGAGTATAAGAACCAGTAGGCGCCTCCTGGCCCCTGATACTGGCAGCCAGTCCTTCTGATAGGTGTGATAAAGAGAGATTTCAGGACACTAATAACATCAGGCTCATCTTTTTAATTCCAGGATCACCCATTAGCTGTTATGCAAACCCATTGAAATTGGTCAATTCACAGTAATCAACACAGCCAAGTTCATAATCCAAGTTATTCCAAACAGTCAATTGATAGTAGATGACATTTCCCCAGCAATAAGTCTAGCTGCAAAGGGGGGGATGTGAATTTCTGTTCCTACAAATCTTCCCTCATCTACATGTCTGTTTGATGTGATTCAGTCCTTGCAGGAAGTGCAAGATCTCAGTTGTTGCTCTGACAGATGTTACAAAGAAGTTGCCTCACTCCCCTTCATCAAATAAGCTCTTCTTCCTCCATCTTTTTTGCAATTTTCTTCAAACTTAATATAAGTATTGTTGAACTTAATATTTGAAAGGGGTTGTAATTATTTCCTTTAGATTGGGCTTATCTTGCAACACCTTTCAGTGTTACCAGACTGATATAATCTAGTGCTGACCACTTCCTGTAGAATGTCCTTGTGATCACTGATCATTGCTCAAAAATATAATAAAACCACACATACATATACATGCACATGCATGCACAAAAACACAGAGAGAGAGAGAGAGAGAGAGAGAGAGAGAGAGAGAGAGAGAGAGATGAACATATGACTTTGGAGCTGTTCGTACATAACACTAAGCAATACCAGCAAGTTACCTTGTTGCATGTTCACAAGGTAGCTAACTAGTCATGCATAATTTCCGTCTTCCCACTAAATGGTGGCACGTATCCCATCAGCCCCCATGGCTGGGAAGCAGTCCCAGCATGCACTGCTGCGATCTGCCCGACCTGCCTCTTCCTCATCAACCTGGGTGTGTTTCAGCCAGCTGTGGGGATTTTTTTCCTGCTGCTCTGCAGAGCAACGTCCTACTCACTACAGTAGCACTGCTGTTTTAGAGGAACACTGGAGGAATGTTGCTGCTCTGCTCTGCACCAACATGCAAGCACACACACACACACCTCTCCCCGCTCCCTCACTGCACATGTGTCCGCTCCACACTCACACATGTGCAGGACTTGCACTTGCTGCCAGGGACTGCCTTCCCCTGCACCTAGGCCCATGGAGGGCCTCTACGAGGGCACCCATGCCAGGGATGGAGGAAGTATGTCCTGTGGAACAGTTTCCCATCTACCTAGAAAGAGGAAAATATTCATTGTGCAGCTGTGGCAGGGAGTGGGGGACAGTGGGGCTTGTTCAGAGTGCGTAGGAATGCCAGGGGCAAGATAAAAGTGGCAGGGGGAGCAGGAGTCCTGGACTTCCTAGGGTGTTTGACCTGCTTGCGAGCCTTCACACAGCCAGCATGTTCCTCTTGTGCAAACCTGCCCTCACAAGGGGAGAGTGCTGGCTCCCAGGGTAGAACACTCATACTCCCATTCAGGGTGCCGCTCCAGCAAAGTGCAGCACCAGACAGGAGAGCACAGCATGCTGCCTCCAAGGTCATTGCTGCTAGAGAGGGTGCTGCACCATGCCCAGCTGCTGCTGGTATTCGAGAGTTGCAGCTGGGTATTGGAATGCAGTCTGTGGACTGAGGGGCACAAGCAGCACAAGACAGCCAATCAGAGTGTGACTGAAGCTGTTTCAGCAGTT